CCAGCCTCAACAGTTCTGTGATTCTCTGATTGTCTCCGAGCTTCCTGCTCAAGTGAGTTTCAGTCACTCCCATCTAATATCCTACAGTGAGCAAGGTCGCAGGAATTCCCGATCAGGAACAACTCACCTATGAAATGACAGATGGTGGGAAAAAAAGAATAAAGATTTGCTTCAAGTGAATCTGGAACAGATATATGGAGGTATTTGCTGCCTTCTGCAAACCTGGAAAAAGAGCACAGAGCGTGACAACGACTGGAGAAGCAGCTTTGAAAAAACATGTGTTTGTTGGAGGCAAGCTGCTAATTTTACTTGCTGTTACAGGTGTGAGTTTTTCATAACCGTCATCATTAACATTATGATAAGGGATTTGTTATGGTAAGATACAGAGATGCTTGTAATACAGAACCAGTTTAATTACTGACTTTCCATTCCTTTTTGTATCAGCGCTGACGTGTTAACCCATGGCTTCCTGCATCTGAAAGCTAAATGAAAACTGGTGAAGTGAAAGCAAGAGTGCCTTCACAGCGTGCATGTGGGCAGTTTTGCAGACTCTGATTCACTTCACATGTTTTTTCTCTGTCAGAATTGTCCTCCCTCCACAAGTTCAGAGAACTCAACTCAGAGAACTAGTGCAGCAAAACACTGGTGAGGGATTTCAAAAACAGACAGATGTATGTAAGGAAGGAAAGACCAGCAATGTGAAACATCAGTGATTTAGCTTTTACACCGCTGTATTTGTAAGATTTTGCTCTGAAAGCTGTTTAGAGATGTAGGTTCTTCCCAAGGGATGGTGGTATGTGATAGGCTGGAAATGTCAAGGGCCTCCCAGTCCTCCTCTCACCCAATCCACCCACATCATGGTCGAGGGCTGTGGGACTGCACTGCTGCTGTGCTAAATCTGGAGCGGAGATCAGAAGAATGAGCTTGGAACAGCATGTGAATCTGCAGTGAACAACAGAGGTTTCCCTGGGAGTTCACAGGCACTGACTCCCCCATGAAGGGGCTCTGGTGCTGGGCCACCTCACTTTTTTTCACAAGCATGGACATCGGTGAGGGTAAACCTTCAACTACTTCACTTACAGTGTCGTAGGCTGTTCTGAGATGTTGACTTGTGCTTTGATCTTCAGATCTTTCTGAATTTGTTGGTCACAGGCCTGCTTGAAATTGCCCATGTATAACTTTGCAGGCAGTATTTCTACAGGGTACAGCTGGAAGTTGTCTAGTTCCTGCCAGAGAGAGACCAGAGGCTCAGTTTAGAGAGTGTGTTTGCTCCTGTTAGCTTGGTAAGTTCTTAAACAGAAGTCACGTGAAGAATTGAAACACACTGTCAAGAGCCTGTGACGCATTCATTCAGTCACCTGGATTTTCTGCCTATTGAAGCCTTTGCTAGATTTACTGAGAATAACCGACAGCATTGCTGTCCTTGTGGCGTTACAGGAAACAAATCCCAACTAAACAGGAGGCGGAGGGGCAGCAGTGTAACGCGTTTGTGGGGTCTTCTCCCCAGTGACTGTCTGCAAGGCTGAATGAAATCATCTGCCACCCGCGGAGCTGCAGGTGTGACAGGAAGGCTGAGAACAAAAACCCACGAGGAGCCAACAGCGCTTCCACAGCCCCCACCGACACTCTGCAGCAGAACAAAGCAGCACCCGATGATTTAAAGCAGGAGAGGACAACAGCTTCAACTGAAAGGCAGGGAGGTTGTCTGTGTCCAGTTGAATCTGAAGGGGAGGTTGAGCAGTTTGCTACCCTTCCTGAAGGAGCACAAAGGGAACTGATTTTTCTCTGCAGCGCTGCAGCATCCCACGGGTTAGCACGGTGCCACGGGCTACGTCACACAAACCAGATGTGAATAGGAACAACGGAAACAAAAGGCACCTGAGATGAGATGCTCCAGGCTGTCCAGCGCCCTCTAAACCTGCCCTGCCTCGAGTCTTCTCCTAGATGTGAAAAAAGGGTGATTGTGTCTCATGAGCTATCTCGATCAGTGTCCGTAGGTGAAATCAAACAACGAGCGCGCCAGTGATCAATGGCGGTTTCCCTTCTGGGCCTGCTGAAACAATGCAGCAGCACTTGCTCTGTCATCCTTCCTGACTGCAAGCTTTACAGACATGGAACGTGGTGCTTGGCAGGAACTGCACGGCTGTCCGAAGACATTCACTGTGTACCAGATAACCAGGGGCGAGACAGGAACCTGCTCCTTTTCATCGTTTGCTGCTGTTTGTTTAGTTATCTGTACTCTCCTGGAGGCCACTCTCGGGGTTATCAGGGAAACCTTCCCAGGTTGTTTCCACAAGCTTTCTTTCACGCAATAAAAAAGGGGAAAAAGGCAATGCACAGCTCTAAAAGAATTAGTGGAGATACTCAGGGCAAGGCTCAGCAACTCAAATTGTATCTAATTCCTTTCTTTGAAATTACTCTGATACCGGGTTTACAAATAATTCCTTAGCCATCGACAGCTGGCTATGAGCGCTAACGTCTTCTACCTGCAAATTAGTCTCACCTCACCTGAGGCATCCACAATATCTTCTGAGTCCTCAGAAAAGGATAGCAAGCTGAAAACCGCTTGTACCCTCCCCGCAGGACGAGCACGGGGCGGTGGGTGAACTGCTCTAAGCTTCGGGCATGGCGGACGGCAGTTCCTTCCTCAGCATCTGAACGAGATCAAAAAGCCATTTGCCAGGGCAGGTGCAGCGTGCAGCACCAGAGGCACAGCTGCCCCGCCGACACCAACAGCAAATTTATTCTCATTTCATCTGTCAGTCTGCAGAAAGCTTTGTTAAAAGCTCTCCTTGCTCTTTAACTGTTGCCGCAGGTCGGTAGCAGGGCGTGCTGCTTTTCACCTCTTGTCCTCATCTTTTATTCCTCTCCTGGCTCCTTCTGTAGGTCTAGATAAAGTTTTTTTCACCCTCCCTATTAGTCCTTGGGAAATGCTTGTAGTAAGTTCCCATAACAGGGAAGTGTTATTAATTTATATCTAATAATCTTAGTTTTATGGAGGCCCTTTTCTTTAGCCTGCTTGAGGCAAAAGGGGGAAAGGAGGTATCTTGAATAAACACTCCCCTCAGCGAAGTAAATTATGCAAGATGGTCGCTCCCGCTCCTTCTCCTGAGGGATCCATCCCTCTTGCCTCTGGCTCTGTCTGCCTTAGAAAGAGATCAGCACAACAGAAACCTGCTCCTGATTCTTCACACCTTCCCTCACGACTGTCGCATCACTGAGCACGCTTGCTTTATTCATTCCCCTTGCAGTCCTGGATATTTTTCTTAAAAAAATATAAAAAATGGTGTAAATCTTTGCTAAAACTATAGTAGCCTTTACAAGGCTGACAGGAGCCCAGCAAACAGGCAGAAGTGGTTCTGCACACAGCAGAACTTCTTGCCAAAGGACGTGCGAAAGCTAAACATTTCCACGGTTCGAGGAAGACTGAACGATTACACGGAAAAGTTTCCAGCTCTTCACATTTCTCGGTGAACTGCATCAAGTCACCAGCCCCATGAAAGCTAAGACTTTTAAAATACGATCGCGTGAAAGTCTTTTGTAACCCTCAAAGAAGGAAGTACTCACTCTGTGAACACACAGAACTTGAGTCGGTGCTCTCGGTCTCTAAAGCAGCACTCCTCCCTAAAAGGCAATCGTTAGACAAGTCCGATGTCAATGAAATGTGGGGAAAAACACCCCAAACCATTCCTCACGTGTGACCAGGAGCTTCAGAGGGATTGGTCCAGTGAGAGGAAACCAGGCCTGCCAGGATGCTTTGAAATAAAATCTGGGGTTTTGAGGCCTAAGAACATAGGCAACACAGTGAAGAAACAGAGGAATAGCACAGATGCTCGTTTTTCAAATAAAACCGGGTAAATTTGTGTCTCTTCCATTAAGCTCATAAAATTAAATGAGGAATGGGGAGAATACCTGTCTGGCAGTGAGGTCTCCATTGACATGGGGCACACGTACCTTCTTTCTCCTCTTCCTCACTGTCACAGCAATCCAAAGAGCTGGTCTCACAGTCATACACCACACAGTATCTGACACACCCCAACTCCTCTGAATTTGGGACCAGATACTCCCCCGTAGGACCCTACCAAAATCACAGAGGAATTCCATCAGGAGCACAGCTCCACTCTTTTTCTTGTGGCATCAACATTCCCGACATCTTGCAACTTATTCCTCTAGAGCTATGAGATGAGTTTGGGGCTATGTCTGTACTTGAGGCTGAAAGACTGGGTCAGAATTAATCAGAAATGATGCAAACTCCACCGGATTGCTTCATCAGCCACAGTGGTAAAGATGCCAGCACTGTCCCTTGTGAGACGAGGCTACAATATGTTCATTCTTGTGCAATATTTTTCCTGATATACAGCTCCCACGAGCCAATCCTTAGGGCTACTGAAGCCACGTTTGCTTCGTGACAGAACACACCCCTCCAGTGGCAGAAGTGGAACATGGCTGAAGCAGGTTCTGGGGAAGCTGGGATAATTCCTGGGGGTTTTAAGCCAATTTTGGCTCACTGCTAATTGCTAAATCCAGGGATGGTTTACACAAATGGTAATCCCCTTACCTGTTCAATCTTGTGTGCTGTAATAATGTGGCTCTCATCGTATTCACGCTGAGTACGGGCATCTGAAAGAAATAACCAAGACAGAGCAATTGACTTCTTTGATTCGGTAAAGGAAGAATCCTGTTCGTAATTCAGTCAGTGGCAATTCAGGCAGAGAAAGAGATTTGGGGTTTTTTTTTTAGAAACTGAGGCTTTCTGAGGCGGATATAACGAATGCCAACACTGACGTGAGTCCATGTGTAACACCGAGTGGTGCCAGCAGCTTTATTCCAGCCCCATGTGTGGTACCACAGCGCTCAGAGCACCAGTCCCGGCTCCATTCTGCCCTGCCCTGCCCTGCCCTGACCAGCCTGCTCTGACCTCCCCTCCTCCTCAGAGCTCTGAGACTCCTCTGCCTCTGCGCTGCCCCGGAGGTGGGGAAAGCGTTCCCAGATAGACCTCAACCCCACTCCCAAACTGGCTCACCCCCTCACCACAACATTTAATGATACTGCAATACCAGGCACGCTTTTTGGAAGTATTGGCAATGCGCAAGATGCAAATGCTTATTGGCAGTCTTTGTGTTAAGAAATCTGGTTGACGTCTAAAAGCTGCAGGAGCAGCAGGAGAGAGTGTGTTCCTGGGATGGAAGAGCTGGACACGAGGAAAGCCAGAGCAGCACTGGGTCACGGCAGCTGAAACGGGACAGGAAAAACGCCCGAACTGCAGGGCCCTTGGAATGACAAGGAGCTA